ATGAATGACTGATTGAATGAATGAATGAATGAACGAACGAACGAACGAACAAACGAACTAACGAACGAATGAATGAATAAATAAATTAGTGAATGAATAAATGAATAAATGAATGAGTGAACAAATGAATAGGAGAGAGAGAGAGAGAGAGAAAGAGAAAGCAGATTAACAATTGACCTTCTCATTGACGACCTCGGCGGCGATGATGGTGTTATTCTCCTTCATGGTTATAACATCGACCAACTGCGACTGGTAGTGGTGCATCAGGCCGCCGTACTTCCTGCCATCTATGTAGAGGCTTTCAATGCTCTCCTTGGCGTTTATCAGCATGACTGCGTGTACGGCAGTTCATTCTATTATTCAGTTCTTCCATCATTCATTCATTTATTCATTTATTCGTTCGTTCGTTCCTTCCTTCATTCTACGTTCGTTCTTTTATTGGTTTGCTCATTCATTCATTTATTTTATCTCTTCAATGTAAAAGCTTTCTTTCCCGTGTTGGATGGATAACTAAATAAACATAACAGCCAATCACAATTAAGATGTTACTTAGCCAGCCAATCACAATTAAGATATTACTTAACCAGCCAATCACAATTAAGATATTACTTAACCAGCCAATCACAATTAAGATATTACTTAACCAGCCAATCGTAATAGACATAATTTTTAATCATCCAATAAATAAATACTTAACCAATTAAACACAAACAAGCAAACTCCACCAACCATATTCATGAACCTCCAATCTACACATGAAAGCTTCGGTGTGGTGCAGCTCTGGTGATATCCACACCGCCTGTGGGTGCATGTTCGTTATGGGACCAAACCACCCCAGACTATCCAGAACCTTAAGCATTTAATTGGTCAATTAATAATTTAGTCAGACTCTACAAAACTTAACTTTTTTTGGGATATAATTAAAAAGTTTATAAATTTCTGAAACTATTATTATTACTACTATTGCTTGCTGCTGCTACTAGTAACAGTAGAAGCAGCAGCAGTTGCGACAGTTAGTTGCGTGTGGGCTATAAAATTCACCCGCTCAAACCCACATGCCACCCTTAACAGAAAATTTTTCATCTAATTTCTTAATTATCGTTCGACAATTTCGTTCAGTTTATGTTTGCGTATTAGATATAGTTTTATTTCCATGTAGGAAGACTTAAGAATGAGGCAGCCTGGAATGGCGCGCCGGAAGACTGACCAGGCTTGCTCCCTTGCAACGCCCCCGACAATAGTAGTAGTGGTAGTGGTAGCAGCAGCAGCAGTAATAGTAGCAGCAGCAGCAGTAGTGAAACTATTAAAAATTTCTACACATTCTTGTTTTTTAACATCGAACAGGAATAATTTTTTAGAATTTAGTGAAAATAACTTCACCTTTTTATTCCAGGAAACAGTCGTAGCCCTGTCCCACTGGGCCCCAACTTTGAAGGTGGGGTCGGTCCAAATGACGTCATCAACGTCCGCTTCTTTCAGTGTGGCACACCGCCATCTGTTGTTCGTGCTGAACAATCCGGATTCGGACCAGGAGATAAATCCAACTT